AAAAGATATTAGTAATTCCTCCACAGTAGCTTTATAACAATAAATGTCGTCTAAAAAACGAAAAAGAATTTTTATTAAAGTCTAACCGAGCCTTTCAACTGGTGCATTCCGTTTGCTTTGGATTTTCACGCAAAGTCACGAATTGCGTAATTTGATAATTTACTCCACGTCCTTTGAAGTGGATATAAAAACTCCTTACATCGCCTTTAAATACCTTAATTTCTTTTTAATTGGTTCAAGAACTAATATAGCTGTTTTTAATTCCAACAAGTCTTGACTTTGTTCCTCCATGCTATCTTTCAGTTCGTTAAAGTATATTTCTTGTTTCTTTAAAATATCTACTTCTTCCAGCTTTGTAGCCGTGTTCAGTGTTTCTACTTTATGATAAGGCTGCAGTAGGCAAAATTATTAATGTTTGAAATTTCACTTTAAAAATCGCCGTACCTGCAAAACTATATCATCCTTACTTAATAATTTTCCAATTTGTTGTTTGAAACTATTACTTCCCTGTTCAAGATTATTTATAACATCAGTGTATATTTGCTTGATATTATTGAGATTTTCCTCAATAAATTTATTGTATATTTCTGCAGAATTATACTGTAGCTCCTTCTGGGATATAGACTCGGAAAAATCGGGAAAATTTTCAGAGCAATCTGACCGCTCATAAGCGATCTGATTAAGGCTCACACGGTTGTGTTGGTTTGTCTGAATAATACTTTTTGAAGTTTGAATTTCTCGAATCTAAAGAAGTGAAGCGAATTTAGATTATTTCAGCTTTATCAAAACTTTGCATTTAAAATTAAGTAAAATCCCCTTCATTCTTTTCATAATACCAAATAACCATAGCATTTCTTCAGCCAATCTTTCAGTTCACTCCATAAATTTTTTTCGATATGTAGCTTAAACATTGTTTCTTTCTTTTGTTTGAAGATTATTAGTCTAATAAAATGTTCGACAACTTCTTGTTGGAATTGTTTATTAACGCGATCTTTCGAAATGACATGTGAGGAGTGCTGCGTAACTACGTTGAAATATTTGGCTTCTACTTTGATTTTTCAGCTGAGGAAATCAGTTTACCAGTTTAAGTTTTTCGACTGATTTGATATCACATATGTCTTAGCATTCAGCGTGGGTCGATGACACCAGTTTTTTGGGATCACGTAAGCACAAAAGTAGTTAAACTCTCTTTTACTTGCCAAATTACGCTAATGCCAAAGAGCTCATTTAAGCATTGGTTTTCCATAAATTTCTTGTAGTTATGCCCCACGCCTGGTTTAAATAATTTTCTTCATGTAGCTAAACAGATAATTAGGTTTAACGACTTATATAGTTATGTAGATCAGGTACGCGTTTACTTTCTAGAAGACATTCAAAATGAGCGGTTTATAGTATATCAATACAGTGTACACAATTAAATATAGTTTCCGTTAGCATGATTGTAAACGGCTAAAATATAAACGATAGAAATAAGAAAGATAATAATTTAATATAACAGAAAATAAAGTTTTTAATAAAGAGAAAATTAATTCTGGCTTTGGTCTCGAAAAGAAATTTTATGTGAAGAAAGCGCATAGTATTCGCCATCGATTATAGTTTACAATTGGTAGCCTTGTGCTAACATGTTGAACGATATATATGTTGCAATCTAAGTTTGAAGGTAGAAAGACAGCATTCTTTGCAAATGCATTTCTTCCCAAATTTATAATGCTAACTAGATAATACTGCCAAGTTGAATGATCATGCCAAACTGAATACATACCACAGCATTTCCAAAATGCTACCTCTCGAACAACAAACCACAATCTGAAATAGCAAAATCATATTGCATTCCAACAGACAGCGAACATGCATTTTTTTGATAACGATATCGGAACTATCGATTATCAACACGTAATGAAAAAAAGACAAATTTATAAAGAATATATATATGAGAAAAATATACAAAGAATAACAACTATGGGACTATTAACATTAAAAATATAGAAGATGAAGAATATATGCAAAATATAAATATAAGGAAAATACATACCGAGGTCGTTCACTGAGAGATTTGGAGTCATTCGAAACATCCCATGCACATATAGTGTCGATGATATAATCAAAAACGTCATATCCGATATTCCGATTTAGTCCGCTGTCCGTTTTCAAAGAAGAAATCCCAACAACAAAGATGAGTGGATTCCCACAACCAGCATCAAAATTGGCTTCAAAGGGAGAACCCTTCCTAAGTCAATCAAATTTAATTATTGCCATTACTGCGAGGAAATCCGCTGGGGTTCTTTCCCAAGTTTCAACATGATATCCTTTTTGCAATATAATATTCAATGTATCCGACGTAGCCTATCTTTTCTAGATTTTTACTTAAACTCAAACAAGACTGATTTTTGTATCTTAAGTGAAGTTTTTCTGAAAGATGAAAATTGTTTCGAAGTTAAAGTTTCGAATTATGCCTCAGCCACCAAATGCCGAAATGATGGCTATGGTGGTGTTAGTATATTAGTTAAAAAAGGTGTCATTTTCAGACGTATTCCCTATAACTCTGCTATAGGCAGCTTATTTACAAAAGCGGCACAATACATCTAAAGAAATTTATTCAAACATTCTCAATTGTATGGAATTTGTATTTTCTCAGATGGTTTGAATTTGTTGCTTTTTTACAAAGACCTGTTGAATTATTGAGAACGAATATGGGGTTTTATATATTTATAGAATTATGTGGGTTTTATATATTAATCCATCCGCGCCTGCATTTAGTGGTAACTGGCAGAGTCAGCCTGGGAAAAGACGGTAACATTTTGAGAGTTTGAGGAAAAAAGGACTGTAAAATGCTTTTCTTTTTTTTTAAATTATATAAAAAATCATTTCAACAATAAAATTTTATTTTTAACATCAGTTGTTTCGTTTTTGATCCAGCTATCAGTTTAACGTTAAAACAATGAACCTAAGAAACCAAGAAAATGGTTTGGTGCCTCGTTTGATTTTACACTTTCAATTTTTCCAACATTTCCCGATAGTCGTTCCCGATTTTTAGGTAAATCGGGATCTTTTAAAATATCTTGAGATAATTTGTGCAAGTTTACACGAAAAAATTGATGGTCAAATATAGGCACTATTAAATTATATTTGTCTATACTCTTGTTAATTTGTTTTACTTCCTCCTCGTAATTGTTTAAAATCGTCTCCCAGCTTTCACTTGCGTGCCCGTTAGAGGATATTCACCGAAATATATTCTTTCCTGTTTGAATTTTCTTTTTAATTCGTTTAAAGCTTGTCTTACGTCTCGTTGCAACGTAATCCGTTCCGGTGTAAAGCCATTGTCCAGTAAAATTTTATTCAGCTTATGGGTAGTGAAATCCAAGTAGGGATTTTGCGTTTGTGCATTCGACAAAGGTTTTCCAGCACCACTAAGATTATTAAAATCCCCTTTAGTCATTGTTTGTAGCATTTATGCATTTAGTTTATTAAAGTATTTTTTTAATAAATTTCCGTCGATTTATTTCTATGCACTTCAGGCAGTGTTGTCCATATATAGCCGCCTGGCTTTGAGTCAAATTCCATATCATCGGGAAGAGGAAAGGGTGTAGTGCGATCCAAGTAGTAATTACTAGGCGCATGCATCACAAATTCTAAGCAGGATAATTTGCGTGACAATTCCTCGTCGGGGCCTAAAACAGAAATATATGCAAGCAATCTATTAGCTTTTGCCTGTAGCAGATAATTCTGAAAGTGTCTACCAATTAAATAAGTCGCAGCGTCGAAGCCATCCCTGGGATCGGGACTTTCTTGCGTAGGTATTAACCAGGTTAAGAATGCCGACTTTTCAGAATAGCTGTCTACGAGCAGTCCGCGTATTTGGGCATAATATACATTATTTTCGCTATCCACTAAAGATACAATATCCCCTACTTGCAGATAGGACCCCTACAAAAATGAACGTCAATATATGAACGCAAAATAATTTATGTATGTTTACTTTATGGAATACGCTTTCCACAGAATGTGTTGTAGCTTGAGCCAAAGGCGTCTTGAAAGGAGTCCGCTTAAATAAACTACGTCTGTTACGCCCCTTACACGAGATCTTCGTACTGGCGCCACTTGATCCTGTTTTTTCCCCGCTGCCGTTCGTATTGGCACTGCTTAATTTAGCTTTAAATCTCGTGGCTCTGGTG